GTATTATATATATGAAAAAAAAAAAGAAAAAAAAATTATATATATTATTAGAGCGTTTAGCTGAAAATGCAAGAAATGTATCCTATTTAAACGTGAAACTCTCTTTTTTTTCGAAGATCATATATACGTATATATACAATCTTACTTAAAATGATTTTCGTTTAACGAGAAAAATGAAAACAAAAAAGAATAATTTTTCATTTCGTAATCGTTGATGAAAGCTACCAAGATTGAATAATAAAATACGGTCAATCATTTTTTTCAAATACGAAAGACGTAATTTCGTTAGGTATAAAACTTATACTTGAACCGGGAATATATAGGCATACGATAAAAAATATCACATGAGAAAAAGAGACATTTAGAGGGAGAGAAAGGGGTAAAAAGATATTATGACTTTCATCGTTTCTAAACTCTGGGCTTTTTGCAATTACAAGTATATACACACTCACGTATATATATAAATACGTAAACACGTGCAGGTAGAATAGCGTACAAACGCATTGTATGCGAGATGACGAGATTGTTTTATTGCAAGAACAGAAAATTAAAATTTCATTTTTTTAAAGGGAAAAATTTTTATTATTTTGTTCTTTTTTTTATATATGCTTGCACCCTGCATTACGCGTCTAGTTTTATAGCGATACGTCTTGTGTACATGACTGTACAATTTATGCGATTAAATTTTCATATATCACATACTATGCACTTAGTATAGTGCATGCGTGATGCATATGTATATGTAAATACGCATATCCTACATATCCAGATACTTCGAGAGACGTATGTATAATGCTACATTCGTACTCAGTCTTCGTTTTTTCTCGTTTTTTTTTTCTTGTTTCTTCTTTTTCTTAATTTTCTTTAGCAATGTGAGCTTTCGTCAATAATACGTTTCACATCGCATGATGAAAATCCTTGATTATTTCCCGAATTTTGTAATACAGCTGAGATTGGTTCTTCTATTACCGATAATCTTTTTTCACGATCCATAGATGATACTGTCGAACTGTGAAAAAAAACATTTCTCAATGTGGCCACGTTAATCCGTTCTACGGATGGATGTTTCTCGATAGTTGTATCAGTGTTCAATTCCTTATTTGAATTCCTACGAAAATATTATGATTACTTGTATTAATATATATATAACTAATTAAAATTAATATTAAAACAATATAATAATTAACGATATTGAAAATGAAATCAGAAGATAAGAAAATAATTACGTACTTGGAAAACTTTTGAGTATCTAATTCCTGTTCTATCTCTTTATTTCGTTTTCGTCTACCACCAGTCGTCCTGTTATTGGCATTGCACGTTCCAGTACTGGTTTGGTCTCTATCTGCTTCAATAAAACTAACGTGATCGTCGAACCGTACACGTTCAGAACCTCCATCTTCTCCACATACGGTCCAATTACTCGAATCGCTGTGTTGTCGATCCAAAGGTGGTTTACGACGCGTACGTTTTGCTAGACCCGGTACTACCTCCTCTAAAGAACTCAAAGAAGTTGCTTGTCCAGCTGAGTCCATATGACCTCCAGTAGTAGAATTTGCTGTTTGATCTCCTTCCGTACTTCTACCACCGCTGATCGAGCTACTGTCCATCTAATCGTGCGTTGGGATATTTAATATCTTTTTGTTTAATAATTTCAATAAGAACAAAATAATATATATTATATTTGATCATATATATGTGGGATTGGAGAAAATTCATAAGTAAAAGTATGAATAAATATAAAGGCAAGAAACGTTACAATATGAATGTTCGAGAACGATCATTATTAAATATATACATTAATATTTTTCTAGAATAAGTAAAGATGTTTTTCTGGTAGGTAGAGCTATAAAAAATGTTGTCCTCTGTTGTTATGGTGTAAAGAAATGAGAGAGTATGGGTACATACGTGTGTTTAACGCGGATGTGGGAGGATACGAGAAGCGGCGATATAAAAGAAAGGAATAAAGAAGAGAGAGTCTAAGAGTTTAAGAGTAAAGATAATTTAGAGAGATCGAGAGTGAAAGAGTGGGATCCTACATATATGTATGTATATATATATATATACCTTGAAGTTAAGAACTGAACCTGATAATGCTCTCGTAGATGCTGCTCCATCATCAAGAGCTAACGAAGCATTAACAGATTTTTCTGATAGGCTCGTAGCAGCCGAAGCTGTTTCGCTGCACAGACTACATCTTTGTGTTGAAGTTACATCTGCTTGGACTTCCAATCTTTAAAAAAGAAAAAAAAATATACAAAAGGATTAACATAGTCTATATTTAAAAATACAAATTGTTCATTTAATTATATACAATACCTTTGTCCACCGGGAAGAACACTAGAAGCAATACTTCCTGCTAAACTGAGTCCAGCTAATGCAACATTGCTTGCACTTTCACGATCATTTTCTCGGCCTAATTTTTCCAGTTGACTGCCACTTCCCAATGACAAGGATGCTTCCCCTATTGAAGGATTACCAACACGATGACTGGCTACGTCTATCGATGCTGCATCTAAATATAACAACAGGATTTAATTTGTTTCTGTCTTATTACAACTTTATGTTTCCCTTGTTATTAATGTAATCATCTGGAAAATAATAATTTACCGCCAGCATTGCGAACGCCCAAGGCACCCATTAGTTCATTTTCATCATCGAAATCGAATCGTACGCCGGTACCATTAGTGGATACTCCACAACCACCGCTGCGACATAAAGAAACCGGAACCACGCCGTAGACGTAGAACAAAAGAATTGGTACACCAATACCAACTGCTAAGCCTGCCAATACAGGCGACACTAAAACCTACGGGAACAACAAAATCATATTACAAACTCATCAAAATATATCTTAAAATTATCGAAAATATATTTTAATATCCTCCCTAAGAGCAAATATCTGAAAAGCATCGGTTTTGTTCTCCCCTCATTGACAGAATAAATTCAGGTCAATTAATTAGGGTTTCCCCAATATTACAAAAACTCTTTTTGTATATTTTTAACGATTGGAAAAAGTATAAAAGAAAAAGAACAGGAGAAATGAAAAGAAAAAAGAAGAAGAAGAAATAAAAAAGGAAGATGAAGGAAAGGAAAGCGGATAGAATCATATAAGGGAGGTATAACAGTAATTCCCAAACTACTTTTTTGTTCAAATCTCTGCCTATTCAAAGAGTAATTTGCTGATTCCCTTTGAACGATATTATTAATTCTACATATGTTTGTACGTAATTGAAATGAGTTGTTGTATAAATCGTAGGGGAAAAATTGGAGACAATTTTCCGGTACACCTGCAGGTCAGTTGCGGTAAACAGCTTGAGAACCGCTGTGGTTTAAGGTGTATGAGAGGAGTATGGTTGGGAAAAGGATATTGATCTGCTGGAAGAGAGAAATATCACGCGCATGGCAGATACTTTCTGTCCCCAGCTTGTGCCGGCAGAGGCAGAGGCAGGTGGTGGTGGTGGTGGTGGTGGTGGTGGTGGTGATGATGATGGTGGGGACCACCTCTTCTCCATCAGAAGTCTGATAAGGTTGATAGGCGAGAGGAGAATAAGATCTTAAGGGAGAGGATCGTGTCACTGTTTAGGTACTACTTAGTCGAGTTTAGTCTTTCGTATCGTTTTATTCGTAAGAATTGAATCATT